ATGAGGAGGACACGGACTGAAGGCGAGGAGGACAAATGACGAGAAGCGGCCAGTGAAAAGGCGGCAGGTGGAGTGGGTGTCTACGACTTGGTACGGCGCCTAGCCGTTTTTTAATTTTTTCCTTTTCGTGGGCTCGAACCCGCGACCTCTGTACTACCTGCCTGATATGGACATGTCGTTATCTACTGTACGATTAGATTAGATAGGACGGCAGTGCACGGCACAGCTCGGGCCCCGCTGACGCAGCCGCTCTGACTCACCGGCCCCCGGGGCCGCGTCGGCATGCTGCGCACAGACCAGCTGCGCACGGACCAACGCGCACAGCCTGCCCTTATCTACCCCTGTATATAAGCCGGCCTCTGCTGCCCTAGGGACCTCAGTTTCGACCTCTTGTCCCTAGGTCAGTAAGCTCTCCTGTACTTACTTCTTTTACTTACTAACTAATACATTCTTGTCCCTAGCCTTAGGTTTGAGCTTCGCTCACCATCGCTTCGGTGAGAACCAGTCGGACGCCCCTTGCTTTTAGGTATTCCCCTGTCGCTTGACCTCAAGTCGCGACATTAGGTCGAAACTCCCCAAGCAACCGGCGTTCTTTCTTGGAACCCCACACACTCACTTTCCCTTTTCCATAGGTTGGGTGGTGCGCACCTCTACTGTACCCTACGATACGTAGATAGCATACGATACATCGCCAACACTCGAGAAACGAACTCTTCAGTACCTGCGCTTCAGTGAGCGGTACTGTCGCGACTTAGGGTCGAGCGACAGGGGAAAACCAAAATGCTGGGGGCGTTCGACTTATCTTACCGAAGCGATGGTGAGCTAGGCTCAAACCTAAGGCTAGGGACAAGAAAATGTATTAGTCAGTAAGGGTAAGTAAAGGATACAAATAAGGGCTTACTGACCTAGGGACAAGAGGTCGAAACTGAGGTCCCTAGGGCAGCAGAGGCCGGTTTATATACATGGGGAGATTAGGGCAGGCTGTGTGCGTTGGTCCGTGCGCAGCTGGTCCGTGCACAGCATGCCGACGCGGCCCCGGGGGCCGGTGAGTCAGAGCGGCTGTGTCAGCGGAGCCCGAGCTGTGCCGTGCGCTGCCGCCTCATCTAATCTAATCGTACAGTAGATATGATGCGTCCGTATCAGGCAGGTAGTACAGAGGTCGCGGGTTCGAGCCCGCGAAAAGGAAAAATTAAAAAACGGCTAGGCGCCGTACCAAGTCGTGACATTACCCCCCCCTCAACGGCGCATGACCTCATGCGAGGCGCCCTTGCCCATTTCCCACCCCGAGCGGCAGCGTGCTTCAGTCAGCGGCGAAGGCATTGGCTGAAAGTGGAGACCACCAAAGGTAGCAGCGTTGAGTCGACGAGGGGCGTTTGGATTCTTCCGGTGGAAGTCGGCTATGAGGGCCGGCGCATTGGCAACGTTGCGCGCCGGTTCCCATGACGTGTGCGAATCGTCATAACCCTTCCACTTGACGAGGTACTGCAGCTGACGCCGGAAGATCCGCGAATCCTTGATCCGCTCAACCTCATACTCCTCGTCGCCCTCAACCTCGATTGCAGGTGGCTCCTCCGGCTCCCGGCCCGGGATATCGCTACGCGTGTACTTGCTAAGCAAGGAGACATGGAATACTGGGTGCACCGGCACCGACTTCGGCAGGACTAATTCGTAATCCAGGTCTCCGAGCTTTCGCCGCACGGCATATGGTCCAAGGCGTTTGGGACTGAGCTTCTTGCTCGGCTGTTTCAGCTTAAGGTTCCGGGCATCAAGCCAGACCTTGTCCCCCGGTGCGAAGACCGGTGCCTCCTGCACGTGCTTGTCGTAGTACACCTTCATACGCTCGGCCGACAGCTCGAGCGCAGAGCGCGTGTCATCGCGAATCTCCTTCAGGATCTTGAGCCGATCAGCGGCCGCAGGCATCGCAGACATCGGATTGATCCGAACCTGGATCTCAGGATGGTACCCTTGATGCAGGAAGAAAGGGGAGTGCCCAGTCGCGGAGTGAACTCGGTTGTTCAGTGCGAATTCCGCGAGCGGTAACTGCTTCGCCCAATCATCCTGCCTGTGGCTTGTGAAGGCACGCAGGTACTGTTCGATCTCCTGATTCCAGCGCTCGGTCTGGCCATCCGTCTGAGGGTGGAACGCTGTAGACAGCGCTGGCTCGATTCCTAGTCCCCTGTATACCGCGTGGAGATACTTTGAAGCGAACTGGGGACCTCGGTCTGATATGACCTTGGCCGGGGCCCCATGATGCTTGAACACATCGCGGATGTACAGGTCTGCCGCTCCTTCTGCCGTCAGGGTCTCATGACAGGCTGAGAAGTGGACCTGCTTGGTAAAGCGGTCGGCGGTAACCAGGATCGAGTCGAATCCATCAGACTTTGGCAAGCCAACGATCATATCGGTCGTGATGATCTGCCACGGACGCTCGGGGATCTCATTCGGCTTTAGCGGGCCCTGGGGTTTGGCTGGGAATGTCTTGGTACGGTTGCACACGTCGCAGGTGCTTACGTACTCATTGACAAACTTAGACATTCCTGGCCACCAGTAATTCCGCGATACGAGCTCCAGGGTTTTGGCACGACCGCCATGACCGGCGATCGGCGAGTCGTGGTGGATTTTAACGATATCCCGCCGGAGCTCCGCGTTCTTTGGGACGTACACGCATCCGCGGAACAACAGGAGCCCTTGTTCAGCATTCCACTCCTCAAAGCCCCTTTGAAGCCGGGGTGGCCCGAGGTCCTGCACCTTTTCAAGTGCCTCGGCCACCTCCCGATCCTTCTCCGAACATTCCCTGATGCGCTTTAGAAGTGACTGATCGGCCGTTACCGAAGCATGACCACGCCTGGCAGAGGCGATGCGGAAGCGTTCCGGTTTGAGGACCACCTGATCAGTGTTATCGTCCTCATCGCCGACTTGATGGTCTGATCGGCGCGACAGGGCATCAGCCTTTCCATTGGACGTTCCGGCTTTGTGTGTGATGCGGAAGTCGAAGCGAGCTAGGAACAGTGACCAGCGTGCTTGGCGACGTGTGAGATGCTGAGACGTGCGCCAGTACTCGAGGTTCTTGTGATCGGTTACGATCTCGAACTGATTGGGTAACCCCTCGAGATAGTGGCGCCAATCGTCCAGTGCCTCAATGATCGCAAGCATCTCCTTATCATAGATCTCGTAATTCCGCTGTGCCGGATCCATCGCATGGGATCGGAAGGCGATAGGGTGCCATTTGCCGTCATCCTGCTTCTGCATCAACACGCCGCCAGTGGCGTAACCCGAAGCGTCGACCTCAATGCGCGTTTCCCGATTAGGGTCATATAGCGCCAGGACTGGAGTCGTTGCGAAGAGCCGCTTGAGCTCATCGAAGGCGTGCTGCTCTTCTTCACCCCAATGCCATGGGTCATTCCCTGTGAGTCGGTCGAGTGGTCGCGAGATCTTAGCGAAGTCCTTAATAAAGCGGCGGTAGAAGTTGGAGAACCCCCGGAACTTCTGAACATCTTTTTTGTTCCGGGGTACCGGCCACTCATTAATTCCTTTCAGCTTCGCGGGATCCATTGCTACCTCATCGCCACCGAACACATAGCCGACGTAGTCGACCTTGGGGACGTCCCACTCGCACTTCTCAGGCTTCAGGAATAGGTCATTATCCTGAAGGCGGCGCAGAACCTCGCGTGTGACCTTCTCATGCTCCTCTTTATTGGTGGAGAAGATGAGTATGTCATCCAGGTATACGAGGATCTTGCCACCAACGATGAGATCGTGGAATATCTCGTTCATCATCGCCTGGAAGGTCGCGGGGGAATTGGTGAGACCGAAGAACATCACCAGGGGTTCGTACAGCCCCCGGTTAGTCACGAAGGCCGCCTTCCACTCATCACCGGCTTTGATCCGGACGTTAT